GATTTCATTCCTACGACGGAATTCCTCAAGTCAGAAATCGGAATTCCGATCGAGAGAAATTTTCCAGCTGGGGACCTATGAAAAGTGCCCATCCGACCTTCGAAAAGTGCCCATCCGACCTACGAAAAGTGCCCATCTGACCTACGAAAGATGCCCATCTGACGTGTCCATGCGACAGCTTAAAGTAGGTCGGATGCACCAATATGTTGTTTTTAATGTGCCCATCCGACCTACAGTGCATCGGACCTACCACAGCTGTTAAAACCACGTGCTCGTAGGTCGGATGGGCAGTAGAGGGGATGGGCGTAGGTCCAAAAATACACCATCGAATAAAAGATCTGATTTATAATGTTTAACTGTCAAAGATTCTAGAAACATTGAGTGTACAGTGGCAAGAGGTTGGGGCAAAATACAAATCTTGAACCAATTTCTTTGGTCAGAACCTACTGGAAACTCCATGGTATTCACAGAATACTTCCATGGGCACTTCATATTTGCAGCAGAAGATCCAGAGGTGCTTGAAATAGAGCAAGACCAGATCTGGTATCAAAAGACTTTGATATTTCAAACTTATACTACTTGATCTGCCAGAATTTATAGTTTGAAATATCTAAGGTCTACCACATTGGGTAGCAAAGATCAGTGTTTCGGATCCGGATCCGGTCGGATCCGTATCATTTGGTCGGATCCGGATCCAGATCCGTATCAGGAAACGTTGATATGGATTAACCAAAACCATGGAATAAATAAATCAAAATGGTTTGTAAATGTATTATTTACATTTTACATGACTAAAATTTTTCAAAATTATCTTTAATAATTTAATGTTTACATTTATATAATAGTAAATTAATGACGACATTTTATAAATTATAACCTTGCATAACATTTTATATGGAAAATCCATTTCACAGAATCAAAAGTTACCTCGGATCCGAATCCGGATCCGTATCAGGATCCGGATCCGGATCCATCATCACGGATGCGGATCTGCGGATCGGGATCCGGATCCGAATCAAAATGATATGGATCCGAAACACTGGCAAAGATAAAGGGAGTAGAAAATCTGAATTTGTGAGAAAGACTAATTTCCTTTCTGGGTATTTGTAACATTCCTCTTTTGTCTGGGTTTTTGGAAAATTTCCCAAATTGATAGGTATAGGTAGATTGTCTATACCCAAGTAACAAAAGTGAGGAATTTCCAGAGATTCTCCAACCACGGTGACTTTTTTCCTAGGAATTTCTCGAGAATTATTTCCTGTAACTAGTTCCTAGGAAATTTTCATGAAATTCCTCAGTATTGGTCCCCAAGATGAGAGATTTATTGGGGGATCACAGTTTTGAGACTCAGATTCAAGAAATTCCTGAAAAATTCCTTGGAATTTTCCCCAAAGATATTCCTCAGAATTTCTCCGGAATATTTCTCTGGAAATTCCTGAGAAATTCTTGGGAATTAGTCACCATGTTTGTGGATTTTTAGGGGAATTTAATGAGAGAATTGGATTTGAGAAATTCCTGGGAATTTCTCCAGAATTCTATGCCAAGAAATTCCTGAGAATTGCTCCAGAATATTTCTCCGGAAATTCCTGAGAAATTCTTGGGACTTGGTCCCCATGTTTGCGGATTTTTAGGGGAATTCAATAAAAGAATTAGTTTCGAGAAATTACTGGGAATTTCTCCGGAATTTTTCCCCTAAGAAATTCCTGAGAAATTCTTAGATCTTTTTAGGGGAATTAAGGTAGAGAATAAGTTTTGAGAATTTCCTGGGAATTTCTCCCAAATTTCACCCCAAGAAATTCCTGAGAATTTCTCTGGAATACTTACCGGAAATTCCTGAGAAATTCTTAGGTCTTGGTCACCATGTTTGCGAATTTTTAGGGAAAATAAATAAGTGAATGAGTTTCTAGAAATTCCTGAGAATTTCTCCGGAATTTTACCCCAAGAAATTCCTGAGAATTTCTCTGGAATACTTCTCCGTAAATTCCTGAGAAATTCTTAGGTCTTGGTCACCATGTTTGCGGATTTTTAGGGGAATTAAGTAAGAGAATAAGTTCCTGGGAATTTTTTTCCGGTATTTCACCCCAAGAAATTCCTGAGAATCTCTGCAAAATTTTATAAACAACATTTTTTAAAAGTTTTTTTATGTTTATGTTTAATAATCTCAAAAATTTGTTCTTGATGAAAAATGCTCTTCATATATTCAGGTATTAGATATTTTGAAGTAAATTATTTTAAGCATTTGAATTGATTTTTTTTGTTGCTACAGAATACTGCAAGTCTTTAATGTAGGGTTGGGTTATAGTACATCCCCTATAGAAGGGTGTCATATCATTTGGACGGATGATTAAATGGACTAACATTTTGTTTGGACTACTGTTGGTTCACGTAGACTAATAATAAATCATAAATCATTTAAAAAAATCTTATATGGACATTGTTAAAAATTTCTTGCAGAGAATATTAGGTTCTTCACGTATTATATATGTGCAAATTTTTGTTCTTAAAGCGTAGAGATAATCTGATATGATAGTTATGTGATTCTCTGTATTTTGAAGGGAAAACTATCATGGAACAACTAGATTCATGATAACAATAAACAAATTTAAATGTTGTCTTCTTGACAGTTTAAGAAAAGACGACCGTCTGCTTTTTAGAGAATACCGCAACATTATTACAATGTCACAATTTCACATGATTTAATTTTAGCGGGAAAGCTTTAAGAGCAGAGATCGTGAATTAGTGAAACTGGTTAAATTTTGCAAGCAAAAGGTACATTTTTTTCGAGTAATTGTAAATACTAGAAAGATTTTTGGAACCCCCCCCCCCATCCTGCTTCATGAAAAGACTTCCATAAAGTTGGTATCGTATGAGTTTTTGGGGTAATTTCCTAGAGAGCGATTTCTGGACCCTCCCAGGCCCCCTCCCCCCTCCTATCAACTTAACCTAACCCGTGGCCGCAGCGCTCGGCCCACTAGCCCATCCTAGCCGCAGCGNTACTGATGAAATATTTGAAGTTTTACTAAGCATTGACAATTTATCTTCCCAAATTCAGCGATGAAAATTCCAAAGAAGTTTAGAATTTTCTGGAGGAAAAAAGTTTTTTCAATTTCAATGGGGGGGGGGGGGGTATGTAAATTTGTTGCACATAGGCTCTTCTGTCACTTTTAAACCAAAATTAAATCCTTTTTTCTTGGACAAACCGTAAATTGTCCCCAAATCTGTGAGAAAAACTTCAGGGAGGGGGGCATTTTTGTCGATTTTCCTGCTATCACATCTCAAACACCACCCTAGCAAACAATAAATAGTTGTTCTGTAGTAGTATTTCTAAAATATGTGTACTTGAATTGATATTTCATCTAAAATGATCGGCCGATCTTTAAGTATATAAAAAATAGTTATAGGCCGGTTAAAGAGTCAGCTATCTTACGCCACTTAACACTAATACCGTTAGTTAGGAAATACGTATTCATAAGTCGCTGCTGCCTAATTTGTGGCAGGATTATCTAGCCTAGAACTGGTGATGCGTTCATAAGTCATTCTAGCTTAAACCAGGATTATCATCCAAACTTAACCGTTTTGACTCTTCTGCGCTACTCTTTTCTCTTCTCAACTTAATAGTTTGTTAATAATCTTGTAAGCTAAACTTTTTACATTTCATAATCAAATAAAAAATAAAAACTTTTCATTAAGATATTTTTTTCCGAAAAAAAATTATCTTTAATAAAGTTTTTCTCATGAAAATATTTTCTTTTTTATATTCAAAATATTTATTAATTAAGTTATTTAAGGAGCGGGGGGGGGGTGTAATTTTTCTGAATTTAGAAAAATACGAAGTATTTCTTCGTTTTTTATGCTTCTCTGTATCTTAAACATCCCTGTATTTCTTGAGTTGAGAGAATATCGAGGCCAAACCAAATTAATGCTGATATTAAGGGTATATGATCCTACCTAAATCTATCCTGCGGGTGGATTTGCTAACACCCCTCTGAGTTAAACTAGCATTTCTGTTAATACCGGTATTAATACAACTTATGAAAACGTAGGGTAGATGATCCTACCAACCAGGATTAGTTAAGAGTGCTATTATGGGTTTCTTGAACCGGTCATGTATCTTGTTTTTCTCTTTCAAATTGTGACAAATCTTAAATAAAATATATGCTTATTTATTCACATATATATTTAGAACTGGTTGACCTTTAAGCATTACTATTTCAGTTTTATTACGCGTTTTTCAAAGCTCAAGTTTGTCAATGGTCTTCAAGAAACAGTCGATTTATCAGTTTTTAATAACGATAAATATCTGGGTTGTTAAAATTGGGGTCAACTTGTAATGATAAATGAAATTTGGAGAATATCTAACAATTTGAAAAATGTGAACAAAAAACATGAACTTACAAAGCTTTAGCAAATAGATTTAAGAGACGGGAAATCATACTTTATAAAGCAGATATAAATGTTATAGATTAGATGCTTATAAAATTGCAGTGCTTAGGATCTGGATCCGTTAGATCTTAAAGATTTTTGCTTCCTGGATCCAGATCCGCAAAAATATGCAGATCCACAGATCCGGATCCATATGACTAAATATCGACCCAAAACTACCAAAAAAAATTTACCTTCAACCCAAATCTCAACTATTGAAAAAAGAGAGATTATAAAAGTTTCCTGATTTCTAAATGGTTCGTCAAGTTTTATCATAAAAATAAGACACATTTTGAATATTTTGCTTTGTTAAGAAACCTCGGTAAATTTAAAAGAAATAACATGGATCTGGATCCATTTCTTTCCTGTGCGGATCCAGGATCCGGATCCGGATATGCATCAAAATTAGTCTGACCCTAAGCACTGCACAATTGATATTTGTGGTAAAAAAAGAATATGAATCTTTGTCTAAATGCTAAATAAATATTTAAAACAAATTTTAAGCTATGATTATTTAGGTTTGAATGCAGGTTCTATTTCAAGTGATGAATGTGGCAATGAGGACCAAAAACCTTCGTCTGAAGATGGCTCTGTGTTGCTTGTACCTTCTAATTCAAGTGAGATACTGTTTTATTTATGCAAGTGACACAATTTTTTATCAGGATGTGAAGTAAGACTATTATAACTATTTAAAGTGAGGAGTAAATGTTTTCAAGTTCTGAAAATAGGGGGGGGGGGGTTGAAAATTTGTCACTTTTTTTAACCAAAAGTAGCCAAATAAAGAAATAACATGGATCCGGATCCATTTCTTTCCAGTGCGGATCCGGATATGCATCAAAATAAATTGGACCCTACGCACCAGCAGTGCTTAGGATCCAGATCCTGATCCATTGGATCCGCTAGATTGTGACTTCCTGGATCCAAGGGGTAAAATATCAATCAAAAACGGCAAAAAACCCTTTTTTACTCCTAAAACCAAAATCTTAACTTATGAAAAAAAAGAGAGATTGTAAAATTTTTCTCATTTCTGAATGGTTTTATCAAGTTTTAAGATTAAAATATGCGAAAAAAATAAAACAAACTTTGAAAATTATTTTTTGTTAAAAAGATTCAGTAAATCTTAAAGAAATTACCTGGATCCGGATCCATTTTTTCCAGTGTGGATCCAGGATCTGGATCCGCATCAAAATTAAATGGATCCTAAGCACTGCAAAATTGATATTTGTGGTAAAAAAGAGTGAATCTTCGTCCAAATGCCAAATAAATATTTAAAACAAATTTTAAGCGATGATTATTTAGGTTTGAATGCAGGTTCTATTTCAAGTGATGAAGGCAATGAGGACCAAAAACCTTCGTCTGAAGATGGCTCTGTGTTGCCTGTACCTTCTAATTCAAGTAAGTAAATGTTGTCAAGTTCTGAAAATATGGGGGGGGGGGTTGAGAATTTGCCATAAAGAGGGTAGTATTTAACTTGTCCGACAGTTTGTAAACCAAAATTAAATCAATTTATTATCATGTCAAACCGTCAATTGTCCCCAAATCTGTGAGAAATAAAACTTCAGTGAAGGGGGTATATTTGTTGAATTTCATGCTATCACTTTCCCTTACATCTCTAACACCACCCAATTGCAACTAAATTTAAGCAGTATAAAATTTATTTTAACCTGTTTTTTTTCTCTCTGAAATTGTGGCCATCCTTCAATGAATAATGAAAATATGCGTAGTTATTCATACCTCATCAGAAATGGTTGACCTGTTAACATTAATAATTCATTTTTATCATGTTTTTTTTTAAAGCTTAACTGTCAATTCTCTCCAACGATATCAAAAAAATGGTTTGTTTAAAAATATCTGGTTTTTTCAAATTGTGGTTAACTCTTACTGAAAATGAAAAATTTGGAGATTTTTTTGACAATTAAAGAACATAATATCGGATTTTTCTTAGTTTGCAGATTTTAAGAGACAGTAAATCCTCACATAAAAATGCTCAATGAACAGTTAAAAATAAATTAAGTGGCGATTATCGAGATTATAGACAAAAAGCATCAGAAAAAATTTAAGTGGGATTATTTAGGTTTGAATGCGAATGCAGATGCTATATCAAGTGATTACTGTGATGACTCTAATAGAATTTTTTTTACAAAAAATTCATTCCATTTATTTCTCCAAACAAATATTTTCATCAGTGCACTGGAAATCGATCTAAAACCTTATGATCGAAAGAGAATTTGATCAAAAAGAATCTGACTTACGCAGACTCTTATCTAAAAAATTGTTAGATCTAAAATATTTTAGATTTAATCTTTATTTTATTATATTTAGGCCTTGATGACAATCCTTTTGATGACCTTGATGACTCTTCTGATGATGAACTAGAGAACGTACAGGACTACATGGGATCGTCTGGAAGTATGGACCTTGATCAATTTTTTCGGAGCCCTTTTGATAATGATTTCAATGTTGACCTTGATTCTGACGAGGAACAGGAAGCTGTGCAAGGAGCTGCTGAGAATTATGACTTAGAGTTAGGTATGGATGTTATTAAATTTCGAGATGAACTTAGAAAGTGGGCCCAGGAGTGTCTAATCCCCCATTCTCATATAGACAAACTTCTAAAAATATTGAAGAAAGATGCCAAAATAGAAGCTATACCTGTAACAGCCAGAACACTGTTGGGCACAGCGAATGATTTCCTGATTGAATCCATATCTGGAGTTGATTTGCATCAGTTTGATGTCAAGAACCAAATTTGTAGAGTTATTGAAAGGTAAATATTTTGTATTTTCTTTGTTGTAAAATTTTCATTTATTTCGAAATCTTCTCAACTAGATTGGAACCTAGCTTGTAGTCACTATTAAATCCCTTTGCAAATCGATAGAGTGGTTTGTACTTTCTGGAAATCAATAACCCCCCCCCCCCCCCCCCCCCANGGATCCAGGATCCGGATCCGCAATAAAATTAATTGGTCCCTAAGCACTGGTTTTAAATACTGTGATCTAGTGATCATGGTTGGATTTACTAATCTAGATCAAGTTGATTCATAACATTTGTGCTTGCATGAAGCCTCACCTTTTTTTTGTTTTGTTGTAAAGTTTTAAATGATCGTCTGTATATATATATTGGCATGTCTGATTCACAACCTAACTCAAGTAAGCTACAAATAGATGAGGAATCCATTTTTTTTATTTTGAAAATTTTCATTTTGTTTCTTTTACATAAGTAACTTCTGGATTTCTGTTGTAGATACAATGGAAGGAAATATCAGAATTGAAACCAATTTGAATTTTTTGAATTATTATTGGTCGGATCGAGGTGCGGTTAGGAATAGTTCCTTATTTTTTTTTCTTCCTTAACCTTGCACATTTTGAAATCACATATATTTGTTCTTTATTTGTATTTTTAATTCTTTAATGGATCGAATTGTCTTTTTATTTCAGGGCAGAATAAGATTCTTTTGATGCTTCACAAAATCGACAAAAGAATTGAAGGTTAGGCCATTTTTACTTTGACACATCTTCAATTTTCTTCTGGGTTATATTCTTAAACTAACCACCACCTCCACCTTGTGGGGGGGGGGTTAAAGATCTGGGGGAAATAAATGAGAAATAAAAATCAAAATGCAAGTTTTTTATACTTTATACTTTAAACTTTTTATTCCGAAAACTTTGGTCTTTAAAGGGAGTGGACAGCCATGTAAGGTAGCTGAACTGAATATGCAGTATTGTAGACAAATTCTTAAGGATTCATTTGAGTCGTAGAAAACGTTTCTACGTTATATATTTATTTGAGTTTGAACTCAAAGTTGACTTTCAAAATCATCTTTTTGGGTGGATTTGTGTTGAAAATTGGTTTATTAGAATAATGAAATAAAGACTAAGAAAAATGTGAACCAAATTCTACAGTAAACTAATTAGTTCTTAAGGAACAGGTTGAGACAGTAAAAATTTCTTATCATCGAAAACGCGTAATCTTATTCTAGCACGAGTTTCTATGATCTCTTATTATTCAAAAAGATTTTCTGAAATTTTTATTGAAAAGACGACATTTGAAGAAGTTGTGGAAAAAATCTTAGAAAGTAATGACGAAAACAAATTAATTGATTCTTACATTGATCTATTGGCAAATTTCTTTTGAGAAATTTGTTCCTAAACATTTGATTAGTTTACCATAGAATTTTACCCTTTTTTTGTTATCGTTGATATTTAACAATGAAAAAAGAACAATTCTCAAAACGTATCTACCCAAAAAGATGATTTCGACTTTGCGACCAAACTCAGTAAATGTACGTCGTTGAATAGTTCCAACTACCATTCATAGCTGGTCACTCTCTTAACTTCAACGAATAAACACCCGTCTTCTTGGATGTCATGACCATATTAAAAATGTGCCTGTGTTAGTTAAAAAACAAACAAAATGATATTTAGGACTCGAGAAGAAGATTCTAAAGGAACGCATTTCTTTCAAGGTGAGTCTTGCGAGATACAAGCAAATACTTTACTTTATGAACTGATCCTACATTTCATTTAAATCCACAACCTTTTCATAGGAACCCCACAGATTTAAAAGAACCATTACATTTTTCATTTGAGATCTCTAGATTTCAATTAAAGAATAGAGACTAAAAGCTTTCTATCTGAGACCCGAGATACCGAGATTCTTCTATTTTGTATACACAGTACAATTATTCAGTTCCTTATTATATATGCACAATCATGGTTATACAGACACGCACACACGACGACTCAGCCCCCTGATTAAAAATCTATCCTGAAAAACCTTGGGGTATTTAATGAAAAATTTGGTTTCTAAATGAAAACTTTGATNAGTCGTTTCCGTGTTGAGGCGTTTCCATGTCACTGACTTTTCATGGTAATTTGCGATTTACAATGGTACCCTTGAAACCTTTATTAATAATGTTATAAGATAAGATTATGTTGTTTTTCAACCATTAAATTCTGATAATTCTTTACTGTTCTACCTTCGTTGGAATATGCTTTTTCTTTATCCCGAAACGGGAACAATCTAACTTCAGAGACTTGAAGGATACTATTGTAAATCAAAATTTGTTATCTTAGCATGGAGGGTTACGTGAAATAACATTCACAGTTCCTTTTATCAAAGTTTAAAATAAAGTTGGCAATAAATATATTAAACAAACAAAGAAATCTTGTCATTTGTGTAGTATTGTTGTATCCTAGATTGTTCCAGAGAAGGAGTGAACAGTCCCTTAGATACAACCAGAGTTTGGAGTAGCTAGTACAGCCTGAACCTTAGAAGAGTAGACATGCACACAAGTCGTCCGTCTGCCACTATCTTTCCAGGCCTGTGCTACACATATTGATCATTCAGCCTCCATCATACAGTGGGAACCTTAGTGAACGAGCTGTCAAGGAGGATGAATTGTTTATCAATAATAGTTAGCAATCCAGAGATGGAATTTAAAGAATTTGTGCCGCAGTTTAAATCCGCCAAAACCCGGTTTAAATTAAGCGCCAGCTTAAATCTTAAAACATTTGATACAATTTTAAGTGGAACCAATCATATTTAAACCGCGGCTTAAATTTAAACCGCCGCTTAAATTCTTTAAATTCGGCCACAGTGTATCTAGAAGCTGTTGCAGAGGTTGATCAGGGAGATGCTTGTGAGATTGATCCAACAGACCTCACCCCTCTTATCAGTAGGTTTGCTCCTATGGTGACTGCTACAGCCTCTGAGGATGGAGAAGTAGCTGAGGTTAAAGAGAAAGTTCAAGATGGAAATATCCCAGCATTAGTAATGTATCATTCCAGCTCTGATGAGGAGAATATTGAAAATTGGTTGCTGCGGATGAGTAACGAACTGGGTGATACTTTTAAGTTAGGAAACTATGGTTTACACCGTCTGGTTGTAAAGCTTGGATTTGAAAATTAGTTTCAGATGAATATTCAAGTTCTTACTTTTCCATTTTGTGGATTTTTTGGTTTATCGGAAAAACAGTCAGCTGAAAAATTTATGAAATATTATTTTGTTCATTCATCAGGTGCTTTGATTTTGAAGAAAGCTCAAGAAGAGGATAAAGAGGTTTCTTCCATTGTGAAATTGCTAACCCCTACAATATTCACACTTATGGCTTCAGTTGTGAATAAAATTTCTGAAACTGACAAAGTTTCGCTACGACTGAAAGCAGGACCCCTCATCTCAAACTTGATCAAGTTTCTACGAAATAAAGCAAGAAGACTTGAACCTCCTAACCCCCTCCTGGTAACTCTTTATGATAATGTAGCTGGGTTAAAACAAGAAGAGTGGGGCATTTTTGTATTAGCAAGAGCCCTTGCTGGCAAAGAAGAAAACTCTATCAAAAATCCCACCATTATGCCAAGCTCTAATGACATGAAACTTTTCACCACAGAGCTTGTCTAAAAGCTGAAGTTAGCAGTTAAGACCTGCAAGGAGAAGAGACTATGAATCACATATGAATTCACAGCATATTACAGTTTTGCGAACTGTAAACCTGAACAAGCAACGAGGTAACAAAAATCAAATTCAAATATTAACTCTATTCTATTGGATTTTAACATTTTTAACTGTATGCAAAGGTTATGTTGAAAGAAAGCTGTTTATTCGCACATGCTTTTACCAAGAATTTGAAAATTTTTAAGTTGAACAAATTTGGCAATTATATGTTTTATACAAATGTCGCCTTCTTATTAAAAAGTTGTCTCAGTTTACAAGATTTTTTTTGTCATCATAGAAATACATTCTAATAAGATGGAGATGTCAGTGGAATGAAAGTAACAGACTGGTTATGGTTGCTTGAGGGAAAAATGGATAGATCAAATGACATGTATAGGTAACATTTTGTAAAACTTAAAACATATGATGCAAAAAAAATACGTCAATATATTCCTCTCTATATTTGGTCTATGTATACATGTATACCTACCATATTTATCCTCAATGTGGACCTGTTTATCTACTATATATCTATTCTATGTATATCCTGCATACCTACTATATATGTACTCTATATATATCTGTATTTCTACTATATATCTACTCTGTGTATACTCTGTATATCTACTATATATCTAATCTGTGTAAACCTGTAAATCTACTATATCTATACTATATATGTACACCTATATATCTAAGTTATATCTACTCTGTGTATACCTGTATATCTTCTATATCCTTATTTATACTCTTTGTATACCTGCATTTCTACTATATATCTACTATATTTCTACCCTATCTATACTCTAGTATACCTGTGTAATGTGTATCTACTTTATATCGGCAGATATATCATATAGTATAGATAATCTTTTCTTTTAATTTTAAAATATTTCATTTATTATATTTAGAACTCAAGTACTCAAGTACTTGATAATCCTTGTACAAGGTTATAATTTAGTGGATAAAATTAACAACTAATTAAGTACTTCAATAATTAAAAATTGCTTAAGAGATAGTCCCAATACATAATAAGAATCAAGGGTCGACTTCCATTTCTGCACCTTCTTAATGGACAAAGATATAAATAAATATTTCTGTAGATTTTAGTCAATGAATTAAAAGAGAAATTATCATGCATATTCAATATATACAAAGATTTTAAGATTTTATAAAGGTAAACCACATATTTCTTAAGAATTTCATAAAATGTACAACCATTTTCCGCCAGGTACTGTTAACTACAGGATGTCCCACGAAACATGACAGTCATGGTAAATAGTTTTGAATGTCTTCTCCTATATAAATAATTTTACTTTGAAATCAATTTTTCTATGATATATATGAGACTGCC